GACCAAGTGGGTGTGAACTGCCAACCTTGTGGTGCACAGTCCAGATCTAATCTTACAGCACCACACCAGGAGTCCAGTGATTGTTTTAGAACTTTAAAAATGTAAAAAATGAATTATTTGCTGGTTACTGGGGTGTATGGGGTGGAGTGAGGGGAGGGAGGGGAAGGTGGAGCACAGAGTAGGGAATAAAACACAGGATAGTTTGGGTACTGGGCGGGCAATACACTAGAAAGGGGAAGAGAAAAGAAGAACAAGGTGGATGGGAGACCAGTTAGGCAGGTTTGCATGGGCTAAGTGGGACAGAGGTAAATAATGATGTATGCACAACCTTGGAACAATAGGGCTCCAGGATACAGGAATTGAGACATGGTTTGAATGAGTAAAAGAGGGGAAATAATGTTTAAAAAAAAGAACAGATATGGGCTCCATAGTCCAAAAGAAGTGGATTGTTAAGTCTATCACCTTGATGCTTTCTAAAATCACTATATTCCTTTGAGGTAGCTAATCTGAATATCAAGTCTTCAAACTAGTAGTGGGTGATCCCCCCAAACAGAGCACACTGTCACAGAAGATTCATGAATATCTGCTCTGGTAGCGTAGTGGTTAAGAATTGGGCTGATAACTTCAAGGACGGCAGTTCGAAACTACCATCCGTTCCACAGGAGAAAGATGAGGCTTTCTGCTCCTGTAAATATTTACAGCCTTGGAAACCCTGTGCAGGGTTGCTGTGAGTCGGAACTGACTCCATCGCACATAACAACAACAACAACAACAAGCTCCTGTCAGTAGGTATGCAAAAGATCAGAAGACACTGTCAAGAGCATAAAATAATTAAACTGAGAGGACAGAATACACTTAAGTAAGTGAGAGAAAGTGAAGACCTACTAATAAAGTAAAATTCCCTAAAATCTCTTATGTAAGGCTGCTTGTTGCTAAGTGCCAATCTTGTGGTTCGTATAGACCTTGCGGTCCAGTGCTTATCCTACAGTGCCACACTAGTACTAAGAAAACAATTTTTTAAATAAACATACACATTTAAGACACATGCAAAAAAAAAAAAAAAAAGCTTTCTTAAGGGTTCAAAGGTGCTTTTATCACTTAGCTTTTAAAAAAAATACAATTCAAGAGAAATAAAAAATAATATTCTTCCAGTTCTGAATATTTAGTGAAGAGTCTCAATTTCCCCCTCTTTTTCCCCCTTAATCTAAAAGAAAAGTTGGTAACACTAGTGTGGTACAAGTTCACTGTAGATGTTGTGCTATTTCCTTTATCCTGCCTTTCTTCTTCATGGACTGAGTCTAGTTTATTTCTGATCTATTACTGCCCAGTTCACCGTCAACCCAGGCATATTTCTTGTCATGAGAACTTGCCCAGGCTCTTTCTCTGGGAACAGCTCTTTACACTGGTAAAATAGTCAAAAATGCCTTTTGCCAGTTTCTTGTTTCCAGGTATTCCAGAATAATCCTAAATACATGATTAGCTGCCAAAATGCTGTGCATGTACCAAAATCTGTTTATATCAAGTCCCTTGTGTTGATGGGACTCACATATAGGTCTTTTATTCATCTCATTCTTTCAATATATTAGGTGAAGCTGATGTGTAAGATAAATTGAGTCTTCTTTCTTTGTTGCTGCTTCATGCCATCAAGTCGGTTTCAACTGATAGCGACCCATGGAGTGGCTGGTGGATTCAAACTGCTGATGTTGGTAGATTTGAACTCCTGACCCTGCAGTTAGCAGCCCAACATGCCAGAGCTCCTTTTTTAGGATTCACTATAGTGCTCTGGTTTGATGTTGATGTCCTTCCAGTTCACCCATCATTTTTCACAGGTTCACTAGTTTTCTGCATAAGATCATTGAATCTGCTTATGAGATTTCTTAATGTCCATTAATACTGACAAGTTGTCAAAACTACAGTCAGTGATAAGGCTGTGTATGTTGTGAACAACATCTCTTCTAATAGATTGTCATTGCCATCAGAGTTTGATTCCAAGTGATACTCTAATTTTATCTCTTGCATTTTTCTTTGTGGATTTCTCATTGTTCTTCCCATTGTTTTTGTTTTACTAGTGTCATTTGTAGATTAGATCTGGGTTCGAACTCTTCACCTGACCTTGGTTTTTCTGGCTCTTTCCTCCTGATCTTCATTTAAGTTTTGCTTTCTTTTAACATTAAAAGTCTCAATAAAAGCTGGAGACATTTCAGATGCTATAATTGGGGATGTCTGAAAAACTTCTTGAGTTGGTGGGGAATGTGAGATTATGCACAGAAAGCTTTTTAGAATGATGTTCGTACAGCTCATGAGTTCTTTGGAAACTTAACTCCCAGAGGGTGTAGCTGCATGTCAGGGGCTGCGGTGGTTATGCTTTATGGCTTCCAACTGCTCCAGCTCCAAGGGCTTCCACAGACAGAGACTGGAGCTATGGTTAATGGAATGAGATGTACTTGTTACAATGTTGTACGTATATTTCTTCCATCTTCCTTTGATACTTCTTGCAGCATTCAATATCTTGCCCAATCCTTCAGTATTGCAACTGGAGGCTTGAATTTTATCTTCAGTTCTTTCAGCTGAGGTATGCAGAGTGTGTCTTCTGGTTTTCTGACTCCAGGTCTTTGCACATTTTATATTACTTTACTTTGCCTTCCTGAGATGCCCTTCGAAATCTTCTGTTCAGCTTTTTTATGCCATGCTCAATGTTCAACAGAGCAAGTTTCAATCTCTTGTCTAGATACACTCATCATGTGCCCAAGGGCAGCTCCCATAGTGCTTTTCAAAATGACACTCCTCTCGGAATTTCTTGATGAGCCTCTACAGTATAGAGACCTTTGGTCCTACCTCAGAGGCACTGGGTGGTTCAGTTAATGTGCTTGCCCTATTAACTAAAGTGTTGGTCCACCCAGAAATACCTGTGGAAAAAAGCCCTGGTGATTTACTTCTGAAAACTGTCATTGAAAACCCTGTGGAATACTGTTCTGCGCCAACACACATGCATCATTAATCAGAATCAACTTGATAGCAACTAGTAACAATTTATGGTGTAGGATGGGATGGGATGGAATGGTCCTACCATGAAACTCCAGAATCAGAATCTCAGAGGTACAGCAAAGGCACATCTATTTTTTTTTTTAATGTTTTATTGTGAATTATGTGATAGTTTACATGGAAGAACTTTAGTTTTACATTCATCCTATCATATATCGTTTCATTGCCATGGTTACAATCCCCTCTGTGCATTATCAACCAACCAAAGGGTATAACCTACAAGCCTGCTCCCCGGGCGTCAGCACACAGCCCCTCTCCCTCTCTGTGTCTAAAGTCCCCAGCTGCTCCATCTCTCCACGTCATTGTCTCTGCCTCCATCTCAGGCATCACTGCTTCTCTGGGTAGGGTCCCACTCTCTGC